TATTCGGATATTGATTTGATTCAGTGTTATACCTGAAATTAAATTAGAATTATCCTGACCTATTTTTGAAAATGCAATACGTCGGAAGATTAAATACATTTCTGATCTTGAATCTGCATAGACATGACTACTGTAGTTAGAATGCTAGACTAGAACTGGAGAAAGTTTAAATTTATCCTTAGCCAGAAGCTTGCTGAGTGACTTTGGGCTAGTCAATCACTTCATCCCAATCCTTATAGTGTTGTTATTGCGATGATATGAATAATGCAAAACTCTATGTGAGCTGCCTGAACTTTTCAGGATATAATTGGTAAATGAATAAACGTTCCATGGATCTAACAATAAAGCTTCAAAGACAATTGTTAGGTTTGTTTGCAACACAGTTTTATATAAATATGAGCAAGTATAGACAATATAGTACTGTAAACCAAAACAGAGGGGAAAAAATTAAATTGTGCTACTTAATTTTGAATACTATACTGGATCAGGGTTATAACTTGAAAGCTGTCTCTCCCTGCCTAGATTTCTGGAACGCATGTAAAGGCCATGTCTTCATTTAAGTCAACTCAAATCATAGGATCATGTTCAAACTTTCAAGCTCTTCCGCATGTAGGATTGTAGGGGAAAAGCTATGGGTTCAGAAGTTGTAGTCTTAAAATGGAAAGTAGAGGAAAGTATGATTAGCTTCTATAGATGCTCTAATGGATTGCTTGAGACGAAAGATAAAAGAACAAACAATGATTTCCCTTCCTGATTTTCTAACACATACAAAAGCAAAGTAGAATAAAATAAGACTTTGGGAGTTCCACATAATTATTAAGTCTGGAATATAAATATGGATATACTTCACATAGCATTCAACAGCATTATATATATAATTCCTGAATTATCTCTGAAGGTGGCAGTTTTGTATTTTTAGACCCCAGATTTATTCTTTCAACCATTTCCAGTTGTTTAGTCCAAATAACAGAAGAATGCCAGCAGCATATATTTTTTTCTCATTATATGTTGAATGCAGATCTGAAGTCCACATATCTGGCTTTGGTTTAAACAAGTTATTTGTTTTGTAAGTAGGAGTAGGGGAGGAGTTCATCTTTTTTTTAAAGAGACTGGAAGATTCTAGAAGCTCACTGTGCTTTGTGGAGGATTACAATCACCTAGGATTTGTCTTTACTGATTTTCCTAGTATGAAAGTTGTGGTTCTTGAAACTTTTGTAATCCTTGATATAAATAACAATAATGATAGTGGCATTTTGGCATATATGTTATTTTTAGTACAGGAAAGCTTCAGAAGAAAGCCCTAGTTATAGCAATCAGCATAACTTATTTTCTGTAGCATATCACAATGGAAAAAAAATGCATTCTTTAAAATCGTTCCAGTGTAGTAATTTTGATATATTCATTTTTATTTAGACAGTGAGGATTTTGAATGGTTCATTTCCTTATTCTGAGCATAGGACTAATATCAATTTTGTCTCTGGATTTATTAGCTGGCCTTTTTTCCCCTTAGGATATCCAGGCTGAAATTGATGCTCACAATGATATCTTCAAGAGCATTGATGGAAACAGGCAGAAGATGGTAAAAGCTTTGGGGAATTCTGAGGAGGCTGCATTGTTACAACATCGTATTGATGACATGAACCAACGTTGGAATGATCTGAAAGCAAAATCAGCCAGTATCAGGTAAGATCAGACCTGCACAACTCATATAGGCAAAAGGACCACGTTGATACACTTAACAATAATTGCAGGCCAGAATTGCTGACATGCCAATCATCTGTTTGGCAGCTAGTGGTTTGTCGGCAATGCTGAAGCTGGCAGTCTTAGTGACATCTGGAGGTGTTGGAGTCATTTGACAGTTTGTCATTTGGTTTGGAAGTGACTGTAAAAAACTAGACAGCAGTGTATCCTTCCAGGTTGCAGGGCCGTTTGTTGGCTCTGGATTTGTTAAGCTTTCAAAAAAAACAACAACAACCTGGCAAGCTGCACAAATCTCCATGGTGGCCGTGTGTGGCCTCTGATTGTTACGTTATGCAGGCCTGGGGGACATTTAATAAAATATATGCTACTTTTTAAATTCCAATGTTTTATGTATCTGCAGAAAAATGCAGCATGTTACAGCAATTACATGCTTAAAATCAAGCTGTTTTTTAAATTATTTGTGGATCATATTTTAAGAGACTTTTCCCCAAAATGATGTCCCTTAGGTCCAGGCCTTTAATTAGTGTGGCCTTTAATTCCAGCCCCATTAGGAACATCAAGCTGAGAACAGTTGTTTTGCATGTTCTCATAGGGCAATCTATAGAAAAGAGAAGAAACATTTAGTTTCATTAACATAGGCAATCATGTGATCCAGAAAGATAATTTTAAAATCCTGCTCTAAAGGAAATATTAATAGCAGTTGAGTTGGATGAATCTCAGATACATAGATCCACAGATGAGAAGGCCTTCTTTTCTTGACTACCAACTTAATTCTATCAGCAGGTGAATGAGGCCTCCTCTGAATAAAATCTTGATAAATGAATAATATTATACAAGTGAAAGGGGTCCATTAAAAACCTGCATAGAGTAGTTGTAACCCCAGAATATTAAATGTTTCTTTTGCCTGGCACTGCATATGGTTTTCATGGCAAATAGCCACCATGGATCCCAGAAAAGCATACTGCTACTCTTATCTGCCTAATTATTAAGTCAGACAAGCTTTCTTTAAAAAGAGTTACTATACATTAGTGAAATGACCTGCACTGTCTAATGATAAGAGAAAATCTTAAAGGAGCTCATTCATTGTGCATGCAGCCTGCCAGCAATAGAATGGATGGTGCCCTTTTATTCATTTATTTATTGGTAGCTTATCTGTGTCCCAGAAGACAAAACCTGAGCTAAGCGATGCCTGTGGGACTCAGATCTGTAGGTGATTCTGGTCATCAAAGTAAATGATGAAGGAAGCTTCATGGCTGGGCTGTGAGTCTGTGTTGCATTTTGGTCTGTGTGAGATTAGATTCTTGCATGCAATAAGAGAACCAGTTTGGTATAGTGATTAAGGCACCAAGTCTGTTAGTTCTAGTCCCAATTTAGGCATGAAGCCAGCCATTCTCTCTTGGTCTCAGGAAGGAGACAATGGCAAACCACTTCTGAAAACTGCAGGGACTAGCCCAGGGGTGTCAAACTCAATTTCATTGAGGGCCGCATCAGCACTGTGGTTGTCCTTGGGGGGGCAAGTGGGTGTGGTCAGGGTGGGTGTGGCCTACTGGGTGGGCGTGGATGGAGTGGATGTGGCCTACTGGGTGGGCATGGCCAGCTCTACATCGTTCGCATCAAGGGTGCCTGTGGGGGCCTGGGCAGGAGTGGGACAGATCTGAGGGTCTCTGGCAGAAGGGGGTGGGACCGGGACAAGCGCCAAGGCATGGTCCATTTCTTCATTCCTCACAAAGGGTGATACTTCCCCAGCATGCACCCAGGGGGGCGGGGCCGATGCAGCAGGGTTCCTCACTGTTTCTAGACGGCCTTGTGGAGCTAAGACTGAATGCGTTTCAGCATAGATGGCCACCACAAAATTGTATATTGGCTCCCGGCCGGCCTGGTCCAGGGCCAAGGCAGTGGGGGCCATTCCCTCACTGTTTCCAGGAT